CCGCAGTCACGCCCGCATCCCAAGCCGTCCAAAAGTGAAAAGATGAACAGCAGACAGGAATGCTGGAACAGTCTCTCCCCTCGTGCTTTCTTTCTGCGCACTGGGCCGCCCGAAGCCGTGCGTTCACCCAGTCCGTTAGTGAGAAAGCGGGAGCATTGCGGGGTAAGGAACCAAAAACAAGACGGCCTCCCCCTCCGGTACCTGCCTACTTTCCCAGTATCCCAGCATCAAACCCAGAGTTAACAATCCCGAACCCAAACCTCCTCCCAAAAAAAACAACAAACATGCGCCGAATCTGGAATCCCCAATGCCGTACCCTTCTTGGGGTGCCTCTACATCGACTCTCCGCAGCAGCTTCGGCCTAGGAACTCTTGGCTCGACCTGCGCTACGAAGTTGGTTCTAAGACGCCAAGAGCCGTGGAAAAGTCGTTTATCGTTAGGACCAAATCATGCTTGCTGTTTTTTTCTGTTGGAAGGTTTGGCCCATCGGGGTGCTGCAAGAAGGTAAGCGCTTCGGGGGCGGAGGGTCCAGTTTTCTTCCGCAAGTCGTCTGCAGCCGTTTTGCATTGGTTGCTCCGCAAGTCGTCTGCAGCCGTTTTGCATGGTTGCAACCCATAGTGCTGCGGGTCTAAAGCTTTAAGTTGAACAAGCAAAGGGGACAGGGTTGATGTTGGGTGGGAAAAAATGAGACTGAAAGACTGCTTTACTGGAAGACCCTACAAGCAGAACAGAATGCCGTTCGAAATGGTCCGCGAGGAACCGTTGCTGCGAAAGGTTGCAAGTAGAGTGCGGAAAGAAACGCGAATACTCAAAAGCCTGCAAGTAGGGACTGACACTACTAGACGAAGCACCTGGATAAAGTCAATCAAACTTGGCCGAACACGAAAGGTCGAAGGTCGAAACGACGCTACACACAAGCACGTCAAGAGGAGATGCCAGCTCGAATCTTCAGTCTCAGTTTACATGCCATGCTTGTCTGGGGCAGGGTTGGATGGCTACAGTGTGGATGGTGTGCCCAGCAGTGTGTCCCATGCTTGCTTTGTTTTTTTGCTGCACCTTGCCTTGCAAGGTGTGCTTGTCAGCGGTGTGTTTTCCTCTCGCCGTTTTGTAGGTCGACCTCAAACCGTGACTACTACTTCCCTGAAACCCTAAACTTGCCTCAGCGCAACCCTACAGCTACGCCATGCCGAGCCAACAACAAAAGTTAAGTTTGACATGCTTACGCGGACAACGCGCTTTGACACTCGTTCTGCCTTCGTTCTTCAGAGATTCAAACGTTTTCGTGACCGCTGTCGAGTTGACGTATCGACCCTGAACGGTCAAAGGTTTGTCTTTAGCATTGGAGCGCGCAGATCTCTGTCTACGGGTTGGAGTGGAATGGAGTGGAATGGAGCGGAATGGAGCGGAATGGAGCGAAATGGAGCGGAACGGAGCGGAATGGAGTGAGGGGGGGGGGGGGGGTTTGGGGTGGAAGTGTCATAATTAGTCGGTGTAGCTTCTTACCCGCTGCAAACATGTCTGGCTCACACACATACACATATATATATATATATATATTTATGTATATATACGGCATCCCAAATTCTGAAACCATCACCTACACAAAACAGCATGCCTCACAGCATGCCTTTCTGCAGCCCTCAGGCAAGCGAAAAACGATTGCTGAGTGGTGCATCTCAGGACACCTGCAATCTCCCGTGATTACTTAAGGCTTAGGATCTTACACGAGTGCCTTGTTGTCCTGCCTCCGTCTGGACACTTTCTCTCGGTATTCTGTTAAACGATTCGGCAATTCGAAAAGCTGTGAAAAGTTTAGGATAGAAAAAACTAGCAAGTAGTGAAAGATGGAAGACTAAGAGTGCCGAAAGGTCGGAAAACCCTTGCATGCGGGAAAGCAGAGTACATCTCGAGCTCGATTTAGGATTTTGCTTGGCCGGCAGCAAGCTGGGCAAAGAGACTTCAAACCTAAATATACCTAAATCATGCTAACTCCAAGCTGCCTCCACACTTGACGTCGTGGCCACCACCAGCTTTGCACGAGGCTTCGGAACAGAGCCTCAGAGGGTGTCGGAGGATTCACGCCAGAAAGACAGAGACAGAGACAGGGACCGAGACAGAGAGAGAGAGAGAGACACAGAGAGAGGCGAACCAGTGGCGACCCAGCTTTAGTTTTAAGTTGGCGCAAAAAGGGTAGTGACTAGTTCTGAACCTAGCACCGCTCCAAACAGAAACGACCAATATATCACCACCCCAGGAAGGTCTCAAACAGCAGGCCGGTCAGACACCCATGCCTAGGTGAGTCTAGAGCTGCAGGCTTTGGAAACTTTACGGATCCTTGCCGATGTCATGGCGTCTAGAGGGTTGTGCTCGTGGTTTCGACACTGAGGAAGTGAGGCAGTGGTGCAAGGGCTCAGCCTGCAGCACGCGGACTAGGGTTTCCGGTTTAGCCTTGCTTGTCAGCGGATGCATGCACCGACACATGCTCCTAGGAAGGCAAGAGCCGAGCAATCCATGACGTGGTACGTTTACCTACTATGCAGGGGCCTTCGATCAACAGAAGTTCAGGTCAAGAACTCGAACCAAGCGATTGGGGCTGACATATTTCAGGAGTAGAATGGATTTAGGGTTTAGGGTAGTTACATGGTCCCTAAGTATATGGGTCCTTAAATGGGACCCCTTATATACCCTTTTTTATTTTTGCATGCCGACCATTTCAAAAACATCCCCTGACGAAAGCGCCCAAAGCAAGCCGGGGGTCCATCAATCCTGGCCACCTGCAGCTCCAAACAGCAAGCGATTGGAGTCCCCTAAACCCCTAAACCCTAAACCCTAAACCCTAAAACCCTACAGAGTTGTTTCCTGGTGTCTTGGGCTTGTGCCGCTCGTTTCGGGGCTTCAGGGCTTGAGGATGTCGACTTTCGCCCAAATCGGCTTCTGGCCCAGGGGGCCGGTTCTAGATGTACAGCCTGCGGACAACCCAGTCTTTTTGCATCTCTAATTACACCCCAGACCTTACGTATGTATCCACCGGAGCCGAAAGCATTTTTGGCCTAACACTTCCATTCGGGGACAACGAAACGTTGGCAAAGCAAGTGCCCCCGCTGTCAATTTGAAATGGGGGGGCGAAAGTCCATCTCTCGGGGCCTCGGGGGTCTCTCTTCTGATCGCTTCCCCTAAACCCTAAACCCTAAACCCTAAACCCTAAACCCTTTTTTGCAGTAGGCTTCTGAAGATTTTGGCCTAGTCGGTGGGCAGTACGGTTGCCCTTTCGAACCCGTCTCTGCTCCCTCCGTGCCTGCGCACCATTTCCTCCCACGCCCACCTCTGCCTCGGGGGGTTCTTCCGCCCGAGGGGCTGATCTCCCAAGGCGCGTTGGCTGCTTGGGGAATCGATTCAAGGGGGGCTGCGCTAAAGGGACTGAGGGGTTGACTGAGACAAGAAAAGCGATTAAAGTATGAATACATGTATGAAAGCTGTCAAGCGACTGGTGCCAAGCGTCGTTGAACCTTCTAATCTGAAACAAATCCCTCTTGCCCTCACTCAAACACGACTAAAGGCGGAGGAGAGGGTCACTATATGTGGCATGTATTATTATTTTTTCTTGTTGTTCTTGTCGTGTGTCGCCATTTTGTCCGCCCCTGGCCTTCCCAATCCCTGGCTTCTGCAACACGGGCGCTCGCCGCTCCTGACACCGCAGGGTTGTTCCGAAGCTTTGGCCTGTGGTTTTCACAAGGTGGAGATGAAAGACGCTGGAACTTCAGTGTTCGTGGGTTTGCGGAATGGGGATCGAAGCGGATGATCTGATGGGCTTGTGAAGGGGATTCCGTGGACTTTTGCACAGCTTGGAATGTGACAAGCCGTACTTGGATTCCTGCATGTTCCGGAAGAAGAACAAGCCAACAAGATGCATCATGAAAAACCATGGCACGTAGTGGCACTGACCAGCCCCAAATCCCAAACACTCCCGTGAAAACTGCACTCCACGTCCCGCTTTCTCCCACTTAAGGCTACTGAACTTGCCCTCGGCTTCGGCCTTCCTTGGGGGGCCCCAAGGCCCAGTTAACCCCTCAGCTCCTGCTCCGCCCCACGCAGGGGCAGCCCCAGGCGACGGAAGGCCATGAAGGACAAATAAGGGCTTCAGCGGGCTGCTTGGGCTGCTTATATCTAGACTTGTCTCGGTGTCTCCGACCTAACTGCTTATTCGACTGGCTCCTTCCTGCATGCCAAGATCCTCAGCGCCAAGGGCTTCTGATAGTAAGTAAGATGAGCGTGCTGACAGGCGCTTTTTAACCCTAAAGCTGGCCAGGTATCTAAACCGACTAGGACGCTCCGATCGGAAGCCAAGGCTTATCTGCTTGACTTTGCAGCAAGTGCGGCAACCTTTGGATAGAAGCTGGTGCTTGTGCTGTAAGATACTTCTTGCGGACGCGTCCGTTCGGCGCAGCCTCCTCAGCCTCTGCAAATGCAGGCTTCAGGTCAGACCATGCAACCCATAAAGCTAACACACCAAACCCTAAACCCCAACATACCCTAAACCCTGACCTCAAGGCGCCTAGCTTGGGAGGAAAACACTTTTAGGTGCCTCAAGTCTGCCACAGAAGCCTGGTGGCCCTTAAACTCCCCCGTGGCAGCCCCGTAGATCCACTTGGGCTTGCAGGGGCGTATAAGGCTACGGGTAGGCGGCTCGACTTTCGAATGAATTTGGGCACAGCAAGCAAATCAAAAACTAAAACCGCCGAGCAGGTTTAGGAGACTGCGGTCGAAAGCTCCTGCCGAAGGTGGAGGCCTCACGTCTACAGATCTCGGTCCGCGTACAAACGCTTCTCAAGTTATACTGATCTGAATCATGATATGGGCTGGCATGGGCTCCGGAATACTCTGCGGGATTCAGCAACTGATGCCATGTCGCTCCACTTTCTCCTCTGCTTCCTCTACTTTGTGAGAGGTTGTTTGATCCCTTTAAGCCCACTGTGGGCTTGTTCATGCGGAGCAAGCCTCGCTTAGCGAGCGCGCCCCTTGTTCTTCTTTGGTGACTTCCCATTTCTTGCTTGCGCCATCTTCTTCAACTGCTTGGCCGTGAGGCGGGAGAAGGTCACCTTCCAGGCCGGATCTCAAACCCTGGGCCCGAAGCTCTGCACTTGTAGCCCATGTTCGGCCCCAAGCCGCTTCCAACAAGAAGCCTGAACACACCCTAAAATGCCCTAAAACGCCGAGCTCCGGGTGCCTCGTAGTGGAAGGACTCGGCGTCGCAGGCCTCCATAGCTGACCCTTCCAGAACTTGGCGCCGCAGCTCCTGGGAGACAAGAGACTGCTTTGAAGAAGGGCTCCGGGGATGAACATGGGGGGTTTTACGCTGTTAGGGGTACCTTATTGGGGTCCTTATCAGAAGGGGGTCCTACTATTTGGGGATCTATATTGGGGGGTCCCCTATTTTCGCAAACCCACAATATTCCCGCAATAATTCTGGCTCTGGCTCGAACAGCATCCCTACAACGAGCTAGTAATCCTGAAGCCCACGCCCTGTGTCGCTCCTCGACGTCCCATGAACGCAGCGTGGCATCCCGCGAACCTGGGTTGCCCACTTCCGTGGGCGCTTACTTACAACCGGACATGCTACGGCTCAAGCCCCCAGACTGTTTCAAGCAATGCCTGAGGTGTGTGCAAGAGGGTGCGGTTTCTGGCGAAGGCTTGCACACGACAGTTGGAGACAGCCGTAGTGGCCTTCATGGTGTTTCTGTTCTTTGGCGCCGTCGTTCACCTCACCTCCTGTCCAATTACGTGAGGTCCTCCAGCGACATCGAGCTTGTGGCATGCGTGATGCACTGTGAATAAAAGCTTTCGTGCAATTGGAACACGCGGATTCATGCAGATTCGAGCGTGAGTTGGGGCAATTGAAAAGAAAATGCATGCAAAAGAAACACACGAATGCATGCAACCAGAACGTGTGGATTCGTGCAAGCGGACCACACAGAGCCCTGAAACTGGAACGCGCGAGTTTGTGCCGGGGTCGCCTCAAGTACAAGCTATGTACGGTACCTCCAAACCCGAAAGCCCACTGGAATGCCCGGATGTGCGTAACTGGCTTGAACGGATTCGGGGTGTGCCTGCTACCGGATGATGCAGCTTTGGGACCAGCAGATGTGGCAAAACCTCTCGCCCACTTCACCCCTTGAGGCCAACCTTAACGAGCCCTCTCGCCAACAACACGTGCGTAAGTTCGTGCCCAGGAGCCCGTCCAAAGCAGCTTCTCGTTCCAAGCAAGGCATGCCTGCACAACTTTTCCGAGCTCGTCGCGGGAAACGATGCTTCAAAGACGATGTACGAAACCCCTTCTGAGGCTGCTTTGTATCGCCAACACCAAGAAAATGTTCAGCAGCCGTCGCTTAAACCGACCAGTTCACTCGCGCTCACCTTTAGAAGCCAAGCACTCCTGATCGGTGGGCGTCGGATTGTGTTACGCATATGGGTGCGTGCGGGCGGGCGGGTCGGGCGTGTGGGCGGGCGTGTGGGCGGGCGTGTGGGCAGGTGGGCAGGTGGGCCGGCACGCGTGCGCTTTTGGGCCGACATTAATCGGCAAGCGTTTCGAAGCTACTTCCTACAAAGCAAGCTGCGCATGACAAAAAAGACGGCGCACTGCAGCTACAACCCAAATCTGGCGCCTCGCAACGACACAAGGCGCAGGAACATCTCAAAGACTTGGGGTAAGGGCTGTAAGGCTACATCACAAGAGACAGGGGCTTCGGGGCAGTCTAGTCGAAGTTCACGTGACACCAACTTCCGCTACCATTGTACTGTGCGATTTTGCGCTACTTAGAAGATGCTGCCATATCGCCAATTCGCACGCCACTCGAAAATAGCATTTGGTCCTGTTGACTGCTCTATCATATCGAAGCCTGCAGCAAGGCAGTAGCACCCAGGCTTTATCTTGTGCTATGCCTTCTTGTCTTGCTACAAGTATATATATATATATATGCTACCCCAGGCGAAAAAGGGTAGGTCACTGGGGGGGGGGGGGGAACCATATATAGCTACCCCCCCCCCCCAGCGACCTACCCTTTTTAGGCCTTTTTAGGCCGTTTTAACAAAAAATAACAAAGAAGGCCCAAAAGTCGCGTAGTTAATCACCGGGTAATGAAGGACAGTTACTGGGACACCCACCTCACAGACCCCGATAAGCTAGCATTGGAAGAATCTACATTTTGAATCTGAAGCGGACAATGCTGTTTTTAGATGTTAGATCAGTGTTTTTCTATGCAAATTGTGCGTTTCAAGGGCAATTAATGTTTTGTTGAGCAACTAATTTATTTATACAATTGTGTTTGTACGAGGCAAAGTATTAATCAAATAGTGAAACATCTTTCTTGGTTCTATGCGAATTTAGCTACTAGAGTAATTATTAAGCAAAGAGCCCAATTTGACTCAAGTGAATACTATTTAAAGGAGCATACTCAACCAAGATACGAAATAAACACCATGTTCAACCAAACAATGGCAAAGTGTGCGTTTAAAGTGCAAATACTGTATTTATACAATTGTGTTTGTACTGGGCAAAGTATGCTCTCTGAAAAGTCCACTGAAATACCTTATGTTTACATATTCATGAATCGTTTTTCTTTTTGAAATAATCATGTTAGCTACTAGAGTAATTATTAAGCAAAAAGCCCAATTTGACTCAAGCGAATACCATTTAAAGGACCATACTCAACCAAAATACGAAAGAAGCACCATATTCAACCAAAATATGGCAAAGTGTGGTTTAAAGGGCAAATAGTGCTTTGTTGAGCAACTAATGCATTGAAACAGTTGTGTTTATACCAGGCAAAGTATTATTGAAGTACTATCTGCAAAGTCAAATGAAACACCTTATGTTTACATATTCATGAAACATTTTTTTGAAGTATTCATTCTATGCGAATTTAACTACTAGAGGAATTCTTAAGCAAATAGCCCAATTTGACTCAAGTGAATACTATTTAAAGGACCATACTCAACCAAATACGAAATAAACACTTGCGGAAATGGAAACGGTTCTACCTACATAACAATGAGACAAAGATTGCTGAAGTATTCACTAAAGACCACTTATATACTATGTCTGAAAAGCACAATTTGCATGAGCAAGCTTAAAGATGCACAATAATGGAAACAGAAGCGGTTCTACTTACATAACGATGAAACAAAGATGTCTGAAGTATTCAATAAAGACCACATACATACTATGCTTGAAAAACGCAACTTGCACAATCAGGCTTAAAAAATGCACAAGAATCCTAGAAAAGTACTTAGTGAAGGCCATACACAAGCAAATTCACAAATACATAGAAACATCCAAAAGCGCAAGCTTTTCAGGAGAATCTCTGGTAAAGTTTGGATTATAGGGTTTTGGGGTATTCCTGGACGAGTAGGAGTCACTTTTTAAGCAAACAATTCTAAGCAATAAATGCTTTTTCTCAAGACAAGTAATTATTGCAAATGCTGCTTCTAGATAATTAATCGCATTTACCAGGCAAATATTATCCATGCGAATTGAGCTACCGGAGCACCAAGTCATGGCTGAATAAGGCCTACTACACTTGAGTACAACCAAAAGATGCACTAAACACTAGCGGCTCTACTTACATAATAACGAAACAAATAGTTCTGAAGCACTAGAAAGACCACTTGTATACTATTTCTGAAAAGCACAAAATTAGCATAAGCACACTTAAAAATGCGTAGTTGTTGCCTCGTGACCGTGAAGGCGAACCAAAAAGCCAAAATACCAAAACCAAAAAACCAAAAATACCAAAACCAAAAAAACCAAAAAAACCAAAACCAAAAAAAACAAAAATACCAAAAAAAACAGTTTTCCGGGACTCTTGGAGAAGCCTCATAGGGATTTCCTGAGAGTCCCGGAAAATTGTTTTTTTTGTATTTTTGGTTTTTTTGGTTTTGGTTTTTTTGGTTTTGGTTTTGGTTTTTTTGGTTTTGGTTTTTTGGTTTTTTTGGTTTTGGTGTTTTTGGTTTTTCTACTGTCCCGTGTATGCGATTTTAGTTGCATTTTAGTCTACGCCCTAGGAAATACGCTATATTGCACACCGAGTTTGCTTGCAGTGCAGCTGGGTGACTTGAGACAAGGCGAAAAAGGGTAGGTCACTGGGGGGGGGGTACCATATATATGTATGTATATGATATGTATATACTTCGTGCACCTCTAACTTAAAGGCGCACCTTAATCTTGGCAGGCTTGGAGGCTTCGGAGTGTAACGATGTGCTGGGTTCTGGATTGTTCGTTTGCGAATGCGGTAGCACATCTTGCTTCGTAAGAGCGAAATTATTTGCCACAAATCTCAACTGACTAATCCCATATTGGCACAAAGGCGCCGACACCGGCCCTGCAGCGTGGCCCCAGAAATCTGCCAGTATGCGTCCAGAGCTGGCGTCCCAAACGCGCACGAGCTTGTCATCACAAAGGCTGAGCAACCAGTCCTGTTTTTCGGGCCATCCTCTGTGAACCTCTACATCGCCTGAAGGGTGCCATACAGGTGGAGCTTACTTGCTTCTGCCAGGTGAGCTTCTTGATCTCTGGTGTGTGCGTGCGTGCGTACGTGCGTGCGTACGTGCGTGCGTACGTGCGTGCGTACGTGCGTGCGTACGTGCGTGCGTACGTGCGTGCGTGCGTACGTGCGTGCGTACGTGCGTGCGTACGTGCGTGCGTACGTGCGTGCGTACGTAAGTGCGTGCGTAAGTGCGTGCGTAAGTGCGTGCGTGAGTCCGTGCGTAAGTGCGTGCGTAAGTGCGTGCGTAAGTGCGTGCGTAAGTGCGTGCGTGAGTGCGTGCGTGAGTGCGTGCGTGAGTGCGTGCGTGAGTGCGTGCGTAAGTGCGTGCGTAAGTGCGTGCGTAAGTGCGTGCGTAAGTGCGTGCGTGAGTGCGTGCGTGAGTGCGTGCGTGAGTGCGTGCGTGAGTGCGTGCGTAAGTGCGTGCGTAAGTGCGTGCGTAAGTGCGTGCGTAAGTGCGTGCGTAAGTGCGTGCGTAAGTGCGTGCGTGAGTGCGTGCGTGAGTGCGTGCGTGAGTGCGTGCGTAAGTGCGTGCGTAAGTGCGTGCGTAAGTGCGTGCGTAAGTGCGTGCGTAAGTGCGTGCGTAAGTGCGTGCGTAAGTGCGTGCGTAAGTGCGTGCGTAAGTGCGTGCGTAAGTGCGTGCGTAAGTGCGTGCGTAAGTGCGTGCGTAAGTGCGTAAGTGCGTGCGTGCATGCGTGCGTGCGTGCGTGCGTGCGTGCGTGCGTGCGTGCGTGCGTGCGTGGGTGGGTGGGTGGGTGGGTGGGTGGGTGGGTGGGTGGGTGGGTGGGTGGGTTGTGTGTGTGTGTGTGTGTAAAGGGTTCAGGTTCGTGAGGTTAGGGCTTAAGGATTTTGTGGTCTGGAGCTTCTGGTTTTTGAGCTAGGGCCGCTTTCGGTTCTTGAAATTCTTCCATTAAGCTTTGGGGGTTGGGCACTGAAGGCCTCCAGAGCACCATGGTTTCGACTTCCTTTACTGGACTTCGCAAGTGTAGACGACCCCTTGCATGAAAGCGAGTGTGACGCACCCAAACAAACAAACCAACGAAATAATTAATTAACCAATTCACTTACTCACTATGTTCAGCTGAGCTTTCACCGACCCTCAACCGCCTGGGGGCAGAAAATGTTCACATGGTCGATTCCCCTATGAGGAACCCCACTTCACGGCCCACTGAGCAAAGGGGGCAGGTCTGCATTCGAAGTTGCGCCTTGCATCATTCAGCTATGGAGGACTTCTCTGCTTGCACCTACTCCTACTCATACCATTGGCCTAGCAAAGCTGCAACGTATGAGCCCCGAACGTTCATGTTTCCGTCAAGTCCTGGCAGGTACACAAGCCCACCACGTGGCTGGTATGCGCTTGCCAAGATAGGCGCTGGTGCATCATGCCTGTTCGATCGAAGCTTGCGGTACAGGATTCGAAGATGCCGAAAGGTTAATGAAAAAAGCTTGAGCGGATCAACTCGAAACCTGATGCCAGTCACAACAGACGAGATTCCGGAAACGCCCCCCAGGCTCATAGTGCCAGAAAGACCCGGCGGGGTAGCGCCAGAAGGCGCCCAGCAAGAGATGACACCATCGTCTGTGCCTATGAAAAACCTGGGCCAGCCATCGTTGAGGCTTGAAGAAAGCTAAGAAAAACAAGCTGATATTTGCGAGGTTTACGAAAATAGGGGACCCCTTAAAACAGACCCCAAGTAGTAGGATTCCCCGATAAAAAGGACCCCAATACTGTAAGGTAGCCCCAATTCGGAAACCACCATTTATGAGCATTCTTGCACAAGCAGACTTCGCTCAATGGCGTCCTGGGGGCTGCCAGTCGCTGTCCCCCTTTTGGCGCCACTTGCACAGGGATCTGACCTGACTTTTGGTGACCTGCACGGCCTTGCAGCAGACTCGGTCCCGAAGGTCGATGACACGAATTTGACCATCCCACGTGGCAACCGCTGCTTCAGCTGGCGAAAGAAGCGTCATGTCCGCCACAGGGTTCCGTATTCCCAGCTCTAGAACGCATATGCAATAGCCCTTGCCTTCGCCGTCCATGCCGAACCCGACGCCTGTATGCCATATTCGAATCGTGCCGTCCATGGATGCAGACGCAAGATCCTGCGCGTCTTGTGCATTGAAGAGCTCCGCTTGTGGCTCATCTTCCCGACCAAAGGTACCTTAGCCGCGGCTTCGTTCCTAAGCAGGGGGTGTACCTGTTGCCTCCGAAAGCCCTACGGCTTATGGACAAGTCAAGGCATTCAAGGTGCTGAGGCAGCGGGTCAATGTTACCGGCGCCGTGTGTCCGGAGAGCTCAGCCAGGGGGGTGCCATTAGCAGACCAGATGCCAATACAGCCGTCCACAAGCCCAGCGTATAGGAAGCCCGGGGGCACCACAGAACACTGACAGGGATCTAAATCCCAGCAAGATGCCGATGTCTGGGCAGTGTCGCTGGTGAGGCTCGCAATCCCTCCGTCGTGCCCATCCACGCCGGCCAGTGTGAAGTTGTGATGCAAAGACACAGTGGCACCTGGATTTCTTGAGTGTAGGCACACGTGTCCAAGGGTTTCGGGGGTCCCAGTCCCCTCAGGCCCTCAGCCCTCACAGCCTGAAGCCTGGATGAAGGCTGGAAGCCTGAAGACCCAACCCCCTAGAGACATACTACAGTATAGATTTGAGGAGAGGGCCGATACTAAGTCGAGCACAACATTACGAGTACAGCACGGGTGTTTGCGTTGCGCGTGTTCGACATCGTGCTCTGACCTCGGTCCCGTGCGCGTGCTCCTTGCGCGGTGCAGAAGCTGTTTGGCATTGGATCGCGCTCCCGTGAGTTCATGCTCCCGCGTGCGCATGCTGCCCGCGCAGAATGGTCATGGCTTAATGAGGGCTTTTTTCATGGCACACTACACTTGTGATGCGCCGTCGTTGTGGCCTTACGGTGTTTGGACCTTTGCAAAATCACGTGACGTGCCCTCTGTCAGCAGCTTCCCAAGCTAATCGCACTCCACGTACACTTCTGTTTTAAAAGATGGAAAACAAAGTGCGCAACTAGCTGGAAGCAATTGTCAGAAGGGGGTTTTGCTGCAATCATTGCACCCGCTTTGTAGCCACCTAGAGATTTGCAGGTAAGCAGAAGCCCGCTGACATCGCAGGAAGAGGGGGAGGCTGTTAGGACTCGCCTCGGCCTCCTCTGGATTCCCTCTTTTCTGATCTAAATTCTTGCTGGAAGTCCTGAGAATACAGGACTTCAGGCACGCGAGTTTAGCTGGCTTAGAACTGTTGGAAACCTTGAAATGAGTGATGCCAGACATTCCAGACATGCTCTATGTTCGAAACTTTAGCGTTTTTCGTTACTGAACCTTTCTCACTGATCGACAATGAAAGAGGTAGAATGCGGTTGAGTTTTTGCAATAGGCAGAAGAAAGCACTGGCGTTTGAAGTATTTGCATCACAGCAGGCCGTTAGGTCCTACATACAAAATCTGTAAAAAAAAAAAAAAAAAAAAAAAAAAAAAAAAAAAAACCGATCTATTCAGCCAGCCCACCAGCCAACCTCTCATGCTGCTGACAAGCATTGGCAACAACTTCGGCCCCTTCAGAGTTTCGGGCCTGCGTTCCGGGAAAGCCTCAGCGAAGGTACTGACAAAACAAAACCTCATGTTTGGGCCACCTACCTAGAATCCCCGAATCAAGAAACCTAGATGACCTGCTTTTGGGCCTGATCCAGTCTAGAAAGGGCTTGAAATCCCAAAGCAAAGTGCTGGACTCCCACCTGGTGGGGATAGTAAGTACAGCCGTACGGCACCATCAGCAGAAGCAGCCATGAGAAAGCGCCTTTCAAGATCGGCATCAGACGCCTGCAAGGTCCGGGACTGCTAGGTTGGGTTTAGTTGCTCACGCTCGGGCAAGCCCAGGCGAGGCACAGTCTAGTCGGAAGGTTAGTCTGAGCTTTAGGTCTGAGGTGAAACGCTACCCTCATTAAGATTATCAACCCCAAAATCGTGGCTGCCACTACCAGTATGGCCGGCCAGAATGCCCTTCGCTATTTTTCCCGCTGAAAGCATGGCCCAAGCCAGACCTGCCATATTGCGAGACTCGAAGCCACACCAAATCTCAACCGTGCAGATTCGCTCACAACAGCTTGCTGCCTCTTAATCATGCTTGCACGGTACTTCGGAGGCTGCACACGGTTGCAAACAGAACGGGTGCGCTCACGCTCTGTGGCTTCACGCAACAACAAGGAGATGATGAGCGCGAAGCCCTTACAATTAAGCCCACAAAAAACAGATGCGGGAGGGGTGTGGACTCACAGACCCTAAGAGGGGATGAAGGGTAGGCACCCAACAAATTCAAGAGGAGGGCCCAATCGATCTGTTGCGGGATGCACACTTTGCGACGCAGTAAAATGTTCCACCTGCGTCGAGAAGGCTTGAACGAAAAGCACGGTGTCCGCGTAATCGCACCTCTTGCCAGAGCCGTGGTCAACAATAACGTTGGGCCCATTGCGAGATGTCCACCATAAAACGCTCAGACTAGGTTCTGGTGCATTCCTTTCTGGGCTTTTTTGCATGTTCGTGACATGCTCCGCACAAGCTACATCCTGAGAGCCTGACTCCGAAGCTGAATCCGAAACCTTCAACCTCTAACATCTGTCAGAATCTGTGGGCAACAAAACCAAGGTGTAAACTTCAACTAAGAATTCAAAACCCTGAAGTAACCTGAAGTATACAACTCCCGAACCTTGTGAGGGATTTTGTCAGCCCTGGGACTCTCATAGCCAGTCGTGACATGCAAGCCTGATGTAACGGAAGCTTACGGCGCAAGCCTCCCCGGAATGGTTCTTTTCGGGCTGGTCTCCAGCTCGGGCCCTTGCCCCGAATCCTAAACCCCTTCTTGATCCTCCATTGGCCCAAGGTGCAGTTTGTCTCTCCATGGCTTCCATTCGTGCTTCTTCTTGCTTCTGTGCTTCACCTGGGCTTACGAACCTTACATGCTTGATTGCATGACGACAACTGTTCGTACCGATAACAGCTTTCCAGAAGCCGTACAAATCCAGACCAAACTGTACGACTGCAGGGTCCATCCAGCCATGCAAGCATTGTGTGCGTCCTAGTCCTAGTCTGCTAGGTTGCTAGCAGCATAGGCGGTACATTGTTGCTACATCTTCCCAGGCAAACACGCCGCGCCTTCTTGGGGTTGCGGCTGTCGAAAGTTGCCTTGTCTGGCAGACATGGCAGCTCGGGGTCACCCTCGGCTTTCGAAACCTGAGGCCTTATATGCCCTTAATCCCTAGACTCCAGGTGTGGAGGTTTGTGTTATGAAACACAAGTCCCCGAATTTCACGGCATCTCTCGATGAAGCAAGGCTTGGGCACTTTTTTGCCAGCTCCACAATGATGAAGAAATTCCAGATTTTTGTGATGGTATGCCCTCGGTGCCGGAGCGTGTTTTAGTGTTGTGCTGCGCCCGGCTGTCCGCGTTCGATGCCCTGTTGCACGCATGTGAAACAGAGTGGGCCCCAACCAGACGGTTCGAAGTGCACCCCCTCTGACGCCGTCTCGTGTGCTGTGTTTGTGGATGGGCCGCGAATGGCGGTTTCCCAAAAGAATCCGCTTAAAGGGACCCCCCCAAAGGGGTACCCCTTTTTTTCGGAAACCCCCATATGTATGATATTCGAAATGCCCGAGCCTTCAACCTTTTCCTCGACCCCCGGTCCCGGAAAGCAGGAATGGCTGCCACGGCGCGTCATGGTTCAGCTCAGGCCGCTGGTCTTCAGCATCCTGTGTTTGGCTACAGACTTTGGAGGTTAGATCGTTACGTGAGCCTCAGGACACAGATCCTGACACCGGTTGGGTCTTGGAGTAAAGGGTTCGGGCTTGCGAGGCCATGGCAAACACACTAGCTGATGTCCTGGCCGATCTCCATAGCGTCAGTCCGCTTAGGGTTTGATGCTCTGGGTAGATTGCAGATTTGGGAACTTAAAGCTTAGATCTCAGCAGCAATCACAGCAGGAATCGAGGGCCGACTTGGTGAAGCTACGTTCTCTTTGCCTACGCCGCTGGTGTTTTGACGAAAACTCATGCACCTCTCCATCTCCTCTGTCGAAGCCCGTGATGGCGTGAGACAAATCTTTCTTACCCACACGAACAACGGATCAACATGCACATCTGAACCCACGAAGTGAACCACACATTTGTAAAGGCCTCGCCGCTGATCTTCAAAGAATCGCTGAATCCTATGCCAGCCGTGGGCATTCCAAACTCTCCCGATCTGTTGGGCAACCCGACTTGCCACATGCAATCGCTTCTCCGAGAATTCGGTTACGATTGATCCCGTCACCACTCGGCCAGCAGCTGTCTAACCGTGAAGCCCTTGAAGAAGGCTACGATGTCCGATGAGTCGAAGCTATTCTTCGCTTGTGGAACCTCCCTAAACCCTAAACACTAAACCCTAAACCCTAAACCCTGCAGCGTGGCTGAGCGGACTTTTGGCCTCTGGGTAGGACGATGTTGGAACAACGCACTCGGCCCAGCAAACGAACACCACCACAAATACATCGAAACATGACTCTAGGGTTTAGGGTTTAGGGTTTAGGGCAAGTCTAAACCCTTCATTGGCTCACTAAAACCCTGCGCTCATACATTGACCACCATGGTTTCCTGGGCCTTACCGTAGCACAGGCGTGCAGAAGCCTAGCGCGGCTCAGCTGCGCGCCTGCGAAGGCACGCCGGGAGGGCCAGAGGAGGCACATCTTGACAGGGGCTTCGATCGGAGCCCCAACCGGCTCTTTGTAAACTCCCGAAAGCTTGCGAAATGTGAGTGGTGTGAGTCGCGTCAGGAGGCAGAAGAAAGGGGTGACCAAATATAATATATATATATATATGTATATATATATATATATCTATCTATCTATCTCCTCGCCTACTTATACAGAGTAAGAGATAGCGAGAACGAGTGAGAGAGCAAGAAAACACAAGAGACGACACAGAGAAAGAGAAAGAGCAAGAGTTAGAGGGGCAGCAGGGCTTGCAGAAAGAGCCACTCTCGCACATCAATTGCATTTCCCGAAGACCGAGAGCTCCGAACCCCAAACCCTACACTAAACCCTCGAAAGCCCTAACTCCGAAACTCCGAAGCCCCAAGTGCTCCTCTGGCTGTCTGGCGTCCTCTGTACAACTTCAAATTCGCTAAGCCCGGTTAAATCCACTAACGGGCGCTTGGCATCTCATCAGGTTTCTTTACCAAAGAGTCAAACCCTAAACCCTAAACGCTAAGCCGCTAAACCCTAAACCCTGGTGTTGGGGATGAGCGCTTGAGAACGTCGAGGGTTTTGTTTAGATCTGAAAGGCTTTCGGATGTTGGGCTTTAGGCTTTCATTCAGAATTGGTTTGGGGCTTTGAGTTCTGACGAATCCAGGGGCTCTATACAGTTTTGCCAGCATAGACCACACTGCAGGTTTCGGGCTCGGCCTTTGGGGATTCTTTCGTGGGTTCTGTGACTTTCGGTACGCCTAGCCTGGCTTTCGGTTGGGGTTTGGACCAGTTTTTTGGACTGGTCTAGGGAAGTTGCCGAACAGGAAATGAGATAGGCACCTATCTGATACGAAAACGGAACGACCCCTGCCCCTACCTTCTACCCTTCAGTCACTGCTGAGCTGCATGACGAAAACCTGGTTCTTATTTGGGTTACATACCGAGTTCCTACTGTACTGGGGGTTTTGTATAGAGGGCTCTTCTTATTTAGGGGGTATATAGGCTTCCTATTTGGGGGTATATAGCGGTACGGAGCTGACGAAAACCTGGTTGGCTTTGTTCCAAGCCAGGTCGGCACTACCAAACCATCTCGGAGCGTACAAACGCCCAGTTTGCACTCGCGCTGTCCACGTCTCACTCAGAATGCTTACCCCACCCGCATCGCAACAACTTCCTTCGGGACCCTAACCCAACAAGACATGCACACAATTGGCCCTGGCAATCATTTCTGGGGGTGTGGTTTTCGCTATCATTAAGCCCCCTCCCAGACTCGCAATCATTTTCTGTATGTAACGGCTACGGCTATATTAACAATGTCTGAAGCCAGGGCGTTGCTCGACTCTCAGAACTAGCGCAAGCGCAGGCAAGGCTCCAGATGTCTCAAGCACGGTGACAAACGCGACACATTGGTCATCACAACAGCATCAAACTCCGCGAGGCCAATCTCTTGCCTGCCCTCACATTCCACAAGCAGGATTAATAGCGTACCAGTGTCTTAGGTGAAAAAATAGGGGGGGGCAACGCATTCTGTCGCACCGACTTGATTGGGTGATCTCCTGTTTGCGAGGATGCCGGACTAGACCAGATTCGGAGCAGGAGCACTGGGGCATGTAAATCTTACAAACAGCATCATGCCGTCGTGAAGCACAAAGCTCTACCACAGGGGGGAACCCGAACTGTGCAATCCACGGCTGTCACGCATCGATGCGTTAGCCATTCCGGCGGTGGAATGGCCAATTAGAACCAGCAGCGGAATTCGCTTGGAACAAGTATAACAAAACATCCCGAACTCCAAGCCGCTAAGCCATGGCGCGAACCTCTCAAGCCGAATTAGACCCTGAATGGCGAGAGCAGTTGCTCAGATCGCCCAGGCTGGATGAGGAACGTGCGCCCTCCCACACCTTGGGCTCTTGAGGGTGTGCATATTCCAGGTAAGGTCCACAGCACGTGAAGAGGTCCAACCTTGCACCACTACCTGCTTCTGCATCATCGTGGCTTCGTGTGTGGGAGCACGAAAAGGAGTTTACGGTGTGACGTAAGAAGCCGGTGAGCGCATGCAATTGGGGATAGTTTCACGCATCACTCGTTGCTCACACAACTATTGGGGCCTCTAGAGGGTTTAGGTTTCGGGCTTAACTATGCAAAATGTTCAGTTGCTTGCGAAAACCCCAACCGGCACAGCGCATCAATGGCCCCTGGCGTAAATTCAGATGCACCAAACTTCCGAAATTAGCGGTACTTTAAGAACCCTACTACTTGCAGGCTTTCGGGGTGAACCGGGTAAACCCCCATTTCCCCAAACACTCAACCACCAAACCCAGGACTCCGAAGATGCAACCAAGCTGCTTGTGAAGTCGTGGGTCTCCCCCTTCGAGGTCACCTGTGGCATTATACATTGTTATTGTTGTTATTATGTTTCCTACTACTACGACTTTTATTACTATTAGTATTTGTAAAAAATATGGAGATGTAGAGCTTTTTTCTAATTTCATACCTTCAGTAATTTCTAATTCTGTTATGATTCTTCTTTGGTCGGACGACTGACATCATGTTGACGAAGTTTGCTTAGCACACTGAGGAACTTCATCCTGACTTATTGTATGGAATCAGGGCCAAAACTACTTGGCCAACGAACGCTCAGTCCGTCAGACCTGCAGCTTGACGTTAGTTAGCCAAGAGCAAACACTATTGTCATTGATTTTTCAATTATTATTATTGTTATTATTGTTATTATCGTTATTATTGTTATTATTGTTGTTATTGTTGTTATTGCTATTATTGATGTTATTGATATTCTTGTTCTTATTGATTATTGTTATTCTTTCTATTATTGTTGTTATTGTTGTTATTGTTCTTACTGTTCTTCTTGTTCTTGTTGTTCCTACTGTTCTTATTGTTCTTATTGTTATTTTTGTTACTATTGTTCCTATTGTTCTTATTGTTATTATTGTTCTTATTGTGCTTATTGTTATTTTTGTTAATACTGTTATTATTATTATTATTGCTCTGAGCTTCGGAGCCGAAAGTAGCCATTTCAAACCCAGTGGCGAGAGCTTGCTCTGGCCGCCGAAAGAAGCGGAAGCGGATGTCTTCGCCCGCTGCCTGGCACGAAAATTGGGCAGAGCAAGCGCTCGCGCACGGAAGCTTTACGCATTGGATTCAGCAAAGAACTGCCACACACCCGAATCGGCTTTTTTTTCTGGGCTTCGGTCTGAACGAAATCATCGGCATGGTTTCGGTGTGAATGACACGTTGTTCATGATTGGTTCGCTGCAGGAGTTTGTTATGTTATCGGCAGAAGCGACTCGAACTTTACGTCGGTTCTCTGAAACCAACAAGGTTAATCGCTGGAGCTGTTTGACTGCTCTACCTCCTGAGAAAGCGCCCTAAGGACGGCACATTTGTCGTGCTTTCATTACAGAACATTACGTAAGCTGAGGTGGAACAACAAAACCAACAGGGCGAAATTGCCAACAACGAACGTCATTCCGACACTCGCCTTTGCCATTGTTTGCCGGCATCTTCCGAATTCTTTCGTTTCATGCAACATGTTTCAACATCGAGTGAATCATACCCGGCTACAAAATCCTCGCAAGACAGCACAAAACGAGTTTGGCTTCGGACTATCATTTGATATGATTCAAACATTCGGCTTGTTGTGCTGCTCATGCGTGTCTTGTTCCCCGTGGGCGGGGCGGTCTTCTGAGCTTCTAGGCGGCGACAGTTCCGGCAACACAGATTGGTTTTTTGAGAATTCCACTTCTACGCAGGCTTCCCGTGCTCAGCGAGTGTGGTGTAGATCCCAAGCAGTGTAAAACCACATCAAGAGCATTCCAAGGGCATGCAAGCACCACTCCAGAGGACAAAAACTCCGAAACCACTCCAAGATGACAACCAATTAAGCAACAAGCACCTCCGAGGCTACTCTTAAAAGGCTTCCCTTGGGATGCTCCCCCTGGTACTATCAGTCCTTAATCGGGATTCTACTACCCCCCCGATTGTAATCCGTACCAAGGACTGCTAGCATCAGGGGTAACATCCCAAAGCTTCCCCCAAGCACCTCCACTAAACGATGAGCATCTCCACGGCGAGAGCACCATATTGGAGCACCACGAAACGCAAAATTCCCGAACGCGCGAAGCTAACCCATTGCGCAGGAACAGAGAGTTCGGGCCCGCCAGAAACACCGAGACGGTCTGCGATTTCGAGGGCCCGGCCACAATCAGCTTTCCTTACTCCCAACATATGAACCCGTATGAACCCCATTAGTGCGAGCGCGGTTTGGGGAAAACCTGTGTAAGCTCAGCCTGCGAAGGAAACAAACCCAACTCCCACGACCCAAAGGATTCCGCGCCGAAGCGCTTGGAAAACCTTGGGCTTCTCTCCGGCAGACTCTTACTTCACCCGCCTCTACTGCGTCTTTGCAAGATAAGCTCGCCTGGAACAGTGGAGAAAATTGGACTAAGGTGACGAAGGTTGCAGCTTGAGGCGCAGGGGGTCAGATTCGGGACGGCTCCATTCGGCCCTCATCTTTAGCTATAAGTAGTTTAGGCTTCGGGGCTACAGGGTCATGCCTGCATTAGGATGGGCATCTCCCCTTCGAAAGCTTTTGTACAAGGTAGAGGGTCCCCACAGGTCCCGTATACCCGAAAGCACTGCAAGCCTAAATGCAAGCATACGCAAGCCTTCTTGATGCTTTGAGGACACAAATTGGAAGCATGACCGCCAGTGCAAGCAGCAGCCAGAAGCTTATATAAGGGCACCTTTTCGCATCCGGGCTTGGTTGCGGCGGCAAGTTTAAACCTTCTGCATCCAAGCCTCGTAACAACGCCTGATACCTGAAACTAAGAGCCGAGCCAGCCAGCTAAACCTGAAATCCTAAAGTCCGAAACAGCACCCACCATGTGAAGGAGCTCAAGTGCCCAGTGCCCAGCCTGGACACGGTTTGGAGGTGCGGTGGCCTCGCACGCGGCCACAGACGCTGAACGATGGGCTACTGAAAAAGAGTTGGCCTCGTGAGTAAAGGGGGGCCTCACCTTGTGGCGGGTGGCCCGGCCTCCAAAAGCTCGAGCTGATGTATCAGCAGGCCAAAGAGGTGGTAGCGCTGCTTATCCGTGCCGACGATGCCACCTCACAGTCTAATCCATGTTTAGCTGTGACTTGCGAGTTGTCCGACAGGCGCCAGCGGTCGTAAAAGCTGCAAATGGCGCAATAAGCTACTGCGAACAAGTCAGAACCCCGGCCTCGGCACTCGCCATGATGAACGCCCACCTCACTTGCAAGGCGCTTACAAGGCTAGGCATGGCTATGAAACGAGGCTGAAGGTTCGACTCGCACCGAACACTATGTGGGCCAACGTTTGCAGCTTACCATGCTTTAGTGCGGGAACCCGTATTGCAGCGGCCATGAAGGTCCGTCATGGGTTTCTTCTGGGCAGTCTCCTGTGGGCTGCAAAGGCCACCCAAGCTCTATACCTGAACTGAAATGAAGCTTGGTCTGCCTGGTAGACCGGAATCCTCAATCCACTAGCCCAAGCACCTGTCGCCGAAAGAAGTGCCACGCAAGCTGTTGGACTGTTGGCCATGTCACTCGGCACTGGATGTCTTCACCTGTCTCCTTGGCCCACTCCTGCGTGGCCTCGCAGGAGCTGAGGTGATTTCCTTGCCTTACTCAGGATTTGCAGCCAGGGCTTTAAAAGCCCCGAGCTTGCATCTGTACCAAACAGAGTAGGGCTTCTGTGCGCTGCTGAGCCCACAAACATAGGAGCGGCGGCCCAAGCTTCGTGCACACCCGCCCGAAAGGGTCTCGGCACCCTTCATCCCCGAATATCCCCGAGCCCAGCCCTGCCACACCTTCACCATGCTGAGCCCGAAGTCGATGACGCTAGGAGGCCGGTTCTCCTGCGAGAAAGGATGAGAAAGGGCACTCCCGGCGGACGCGCCTGCCTTTAACTGAATAAAAGGCTGCGGGCAACATTCAACACAGAACAAGGAGCTAGATTCGAGATCCGACAACAAGATACTAACAGGCAGGCAGGGGCGACTTGACCTCCAGACCAAGGAACCCTTGTGTGCGCTGAGCCATGACGCATCACGACAAAGCGTGGTGATGAAACGACACCGAACCATCACACACTTCGCCTTGGTGAGGACTTGCACACAGGTTTGGGAAACTTTGCAAGGGCGCTGACTTTCAAAACTGGTTGGCACGAGGGTTGAGCGTGACCAATCCAAATATGGGTGCTGACAAAGAAACCCCGGCATCCCCTGCTGTCAAGTCATGAGAGAGCATCACCATGTTGTGTTTCCACACACGACTTGAGAGCCTTCGGACGATACTCTTTGTTTTTTACCTGCTGCCAAGGTATACGATTGTTCGGGCAATTGCCATTGAGAGATGCTGAGAACCCACACTGGAACTTCACGACAGTGACTACCAGTGACTACCCGGTGGCCAGAGGTGTGGGGTGTTTGTGATGTGTGCCGCGCTGCGTGTCCGACCTTCTCTGCTGCAGGACTAGAAACGCTCTCGGATCTCCTCTGTCAGTGGAGGTTCAGCCTGACCTCCATGGCAGAGCTTCACTTCGCTCAAATCTCGCGAAGGCAATCGTAGGATACATCAGGTTTGGACTTGGTCGGCTGGTGTCAGTCAAGCTGTTGACCCGAAGGCTCTGGCACCTAAAGACTGTAGCGAAAGGCATCCAAGCTCAAGCAGAGTGGCCTGCAATATATGCATCGCCGACGGTCTCTACCTTGTTGGGAAGGCGGGCTTGAGTGGCTCTTCCCATGGCACCACACGCCCACACGTACTTATAGTTGCCATCCTATCGCCCCAGACATCTCGAAATCCGAAAGAAGGAAGTGCGGCGGCTCCATGGATAGACAGACACGTGCAATTTGCGGGGCCTGACATCTCAAGGTCTGGGTTGGGATTTGGGCTTGGAGCTTTCGCCGCAAGCTGGCCGAGCGGCCTTGTAGATGCCCAGGCGGTCAGCTTCTTCATCGAAAAGGCCGAACCTTGGACGCCAAGTGGGGGCCGAGGCTAAGTCTGCAAAGTTCCGCACACACCGCTGACATGGATCGTGCTCTCAACAAATCGAAAGTGACAGGCCGTGATGCGGCACATCACCCCGGTGTGGACCATTTTGCGAAATGCGAACCAGCAGCGGAAATTCATATCAGGATAAAGCAGCTTTCAGAAGATCTTGCGGACAGTGTAGTGCAGATACGATGCCCCCAAAACCGAAGCCTCAAACCCTATGCTGCTCACGAGTTGCAGGTGTGAAATGGTGCGCACGACTTCCTGGTGCTGCATGACTTCGGACCCTAAACCCTAAACCCTAAACCCTAAACACTAAACCCGAAACCCTAAACCCTAAACCCTAAACGAGCTACATTGCCCGGGCATAAGGGCTTGCTAAGCTGGAAGAAGTCTAGAGAGTTGTAACTGTAGCCATAGGAGCCACCGTGCGTGCTGTGCCAGGCATGCTGTAAAATGCCGGCTTTTCAGCTCATGGAGGTCTTTGAACGGATGTGGGCTGCAGATGCTGCAGTAGACCACCCTCTCACTGAAACATGACAACCGAGGCCAAGAGTGCTTGCTTAAGAGGGCATCTTGGGCTCCCCCCCCCGGTTCTTAGGAGGGAATTGGGGATTTAGGTACCCTGCATAATTCCCTCAAAGGGGGTAGGTAGGGGATGTTAGAATACCCCCTTCCCTACTAAGAACCAGGCAAGGGTGGTGGCGAAGTTGGCAACCTGGCCCGAAGAACACACCCCCCCCCCCCCCCGAGGCCTCGGGGCTCTTCAAGCCGGCCAGGCGCGTGAATCCAGCCAGGTCCGACTGCACCACGGTGGCCCGAAAGTAATGGTGCGACGGCCTGAATTACTATATTATTCTCATATGATTGTACGTAAGTATACTGTTAGTATATTGCCCTATACTACTATTGTGTTATATATATATATATATATATGGGTCACCGCCTATAGCGGTTCCCCTGTGTTTTTTGCACATTCCCTTAAACCATCTAACCAACAATCCCTCAAACCATTAAACCAATGGTCTCCCGCCTAAACCATTAAACCATTAAACCATACCATTAAACCATTAAACCAATGGTTTCCCCCTTCTGAAAATCCCCTAAACCATTAAACCATCGCGTCACCGGGAAGAAAGCCCTACAAACGTAGGCATAGCCCTATGGGGTTCAAGGTTTAGGGATCTAAGCCCCAAGCCCTATAGGGCTTTAAGGTTCTATCGTACAGGTAATGCCTAAACCTTAAACCCTAAGCCTTTAAACCCTGTAGGGTTGAATGGTTCAAGAAAACCTAAGGTCTGGGCATGTATACCTTCAGCACCCTTTAGGTTCAAAACCCTTGTTCCTTGTAGAGCCCTGTCGGGTTTTAGGGTTCTGACCCTAAACGGTTCAGGGTTAAGGTTTAACTGCCCGAACTTTCAACCCTTAAGGTTAAATCTCTATGGGTTTAGGTTTAAAGTTTAAAAATACCTAAATCTTAAACCCTAACCGCTTAACCTTAACTCTATCGGGTTGAACGGTTAGGGTTTAGGTTTCATTGCGGGCTGACGTTTAAATGCCTGAATCTTAAGCCCTAAACCTGTCAAACTTAACCCTATAGGTTTGGGGTACCTACATCATCATCGACTTGTTGCTGTGGTTATAACGATGGTTTAGGGTTAAAATATATACATTTATGTAAACCTAAAAAAATAAGGGGAACCGCAATAGGCGGACGCCCATATATATGTGCATTCATTTAGTTCATTTTGTTATGGATTTTTATTTATATCTATTTGTTTTCTGATTATATTATGAATCAGATAAGCTTCAGGCCCCCCAAAGCAACGAACCATGGGCCTTCCATCAACTGGACTGCCAAGCCCTTGAAGGGAGGGCTCAACAGCTGGGGTCTGCGATTTTGGAGGCTCAAGGAAAAGGACATGGGTGCACTGCAGAAGCTCCTGGGGGATCCAGCCTCATGGGACAGATACCTCCAACTAGCGATGTTCATCGGTTGCTTAAGGTTACATGATCTTCCTTGCAGTGCAGTCCAGCAGCAACGCATCATCAGGCGACGCTCGCTGCAGCTCATTGATGACCAGCTTGGGCATCATGGAGTCCAGAATCCTTCCGGGCCCCTCCTAGGGTCCCTCACGAGAGTCCCTAGAAGCGGCTGTCAGGATTCAGTGATGTCTAGAAATGCCTTAGCCGAACACGCGGCCAACAGTCATGCCGCTCGAGTTGCCCATGCTGCGCCCATCGGTCTCAACTTCAACTCGGTTCCATAGACTCGTGGACCCAAGCATTGTGTTCTGCAGGGGCAGTGGGTCTTCCACGAGTGCCACATGCTGTCACGCAGCGTATGCAGCAGAAGACGTGGACGAACGTCCTCAAGCTGTACGCGTGCATTTGACATGACAACGCTAGCCATGTGCCTGTGAACAACGTCAGCATTGTCCGGACGAGTGCCATCGAGAAATCATTGCTTGCTGGAGTCGCCAAAGAGGGCTAAGGGTTGGTGCATGGTGCGACGGTGCGCTGAGGAAAAGCCACCATCGCGGAGCGTCTCTCCTCTCCTCTTTTCTCGCTCGTCTTCTTCTCTAAGGCGGAAGGGGGTCAACCCCCCTGACTGGTGCCTGCATGTGCGGCATTCAAGCGTCCGTTAACCAAGCATCACGCCCCTCGCGCTCGCTAACACCCCACTGTAGGCTGCTGAGACTTGAAACACCAGCACAGCGCCCCAAACTGTCTCACTCTCTCCCTGGCTCCTCGCCAGCGGACTAGGCGCTTGTTCCTAACTCCTGAATGCCTCCTAGTAGTAGTAGAAAAGGTGGCGCATCTTGGAAACATCTCAACCCCCCCCCCCCCGGAAAGAAACACGCAAAGACGTGGAGACATCTCGATTGATGATTAATGCAACCCAAAACTCACTGCAAGGTCTGAAGACGCGAACAGCACATGCGACGAATTCATTTGGGTATATACCTCAAGTTGCAGGACCCCCTAATCCCCAGAACGTTGCTAGCCTCAAGCCATCAATCTGGACCCCTGAAGGACAGTCCCCTCGATGCGCGTCTTGCAAATGTCAATGGCTTGTCTGGCTTTGAACTGGCTTCTGAGGCTGCGCTCGCCAATGAAGCCTTTCCTTTCTTGGAGTACGCAGCTTGCAGAGCTTAACGATCAGGATCACTAAGAGGTGAAGGTTAGGTTTCATACTCCGTCTGTGAAAAACAAGCAAAATGGCGTGCTCAAAGCGGAGAAGCTGCATAACGAAAATAAGGCTGTACCCCATGAAGGCTACTCCTTCCGACGGGTACCCATTCTCTGCAGATTGTGGAGATATGAAAACAATAAGGACGACCAGTGAGAAGCCAGCGAAGTAGGCAACCGCAACGGTGGACCTGAGCAGTGAAGGATTGGTCACACCTTCGCGATTTCGGTGGTAGACCGGGCTTCCTCATGCTTGGCGCATCCACTACATTCCATTACCACTGCTGCTGCTAGCTACAAGTGCTTCTGCCACAAGTGCTTATGCAAACTGGGCCGGCAACTGCAGCTGGTAGGAGATCATAAAGGCAGAATAGACAGGAAAGAACAACAGGGCGACGACGTTGTCGGGCACTGCGTCACTTCCGTTGTTGGCGTAGCGAGGCAGCAGCATGTAAGACAGCATCCTCTCAGTGACTCAGGTGGGGCTTACAAGCTCCAGGGGTATCAGGCGTACGTGGCTTTGCCCGGTCTCCACTACAACCTAGACATTGCACCATGCACTCTTTAGCAGCCCAAGGTCCAGAGCATGTCCAAAAAAAGCATCAACGCTAACCCTGGCCAAGCAGCACCAAGACGACGAACACAAAGTGCCCAGATTGGACCACAACTCTGCCAGAACGCATCGCTCTCTCCTGGTTTCAAAGCTTGAAGTTTGGACCACAGTCGTTCTGAACAAGGCGGAGCAGTGAACCCCGCGAAGAATAGGTCTGCATGGCCTTCTAGTATTTTGCCTGGGTGTCACTGTATCCAACTGATACTACAACTTTGGAAAAACATTCTTGATGGGATTCCATCTGAGTTTCAAGGAAGCTGGCTTTGGCAACAGACATCAGCTGACCACTTTAACAATGGTTCAACCCTGAATCCTAAACCCCAAACCCCAAACCCTAAACCCTAAACCCTTCACCACGGGCAGCCGTGCGACCTGCGGCGCATATAGACGCATCCAAAAACGTTCAAACCCAGCCACAGCCAAAAACATCTAGCTGCTAGCTGTCATGCAAGTCTTGTGATTGCTGGCGGTTGATCTTGCAGGACTCGGAGGTTTAACACTCACGCCGCCCAAATAAAGACTTGGCATTTACAACCCACCCTCCCCCCCACCCCATCCCACCCCACCCCACCCATTTCCCGCATAACAAACAAAATCGAACATCCCACCCTACAGATTTGTGGGCGTCTTACTCTGGGGTTGGGCACTCCAGGGACTTGTTTGAGATATTCTGGGTTGGGCACTCCAGGGATTTTCCGAGATTACTGTAAGATTGGGCATTCAAGGGAGTCTCTGGAAGATACTCTGCGGGTTGGGCACTCTGGGGATACTCTGGGTTGGGCACAGGGCATTTGTCGGGCACTCCAGGGGTTCTTGGGGGTTTTTGAATTTGGGCACTCCAAACATTTTGTGGAAATACTCTGGACCCATATTTCAAGGATACTTTGGGTTGCACTACAGGGACTCTCTGGAGGTTTTTTAAAGTTGTGCACTTTAGCGATTCTGGGGTACTGTGAGGGTGGGAGGAGGGTGGGAGGAGGGTGGGAGGAGGGTGGGAGGAGGGTGGGAGGAGGGTGGGAGGAGGGTGGGAGGAGGGTGGGAGGAGGGTGGGAGGAGGGTGGGAGGAGGGTGGGAGGAGGGTGGGGGAAGGGTGGGGGAAGGGTGGGAGAAGGGTGGGAGAAGGGTGGGAGAAGGGTGGGAGAAGGGTGGGAGAAGCGTGGGAGAAGGGTGGGAGAAGGGTGGGAGAAGGGTGGGAAGGGTGGGAGAAGGGTGGGTGGGAAGGGTAATATTTGGGAAAGGGGAGTACCGTGGGCTCACTTCGTCGGATCTTAATTTCAAGTCAGTCTCCGTGCTGCGGTGGGATAGGATGGCTGGGCTGAATTGCGCCATGGCAAAGGACCTCAGAACTCGGAACCAAACAAGATCGAGGCCCTGGCATCTTCTTGCGAAGAATTCGGACTTTGGTGCGAAATTTGCGGCTCTAAAAGCTAACCACAACCCCTAGCCCCCTAAGTCTAAGGAAACCCAAGGGACACGCTGAGCGCGACAGCCCGGAGAAGGAAGTAGAGCTTCATCTCAAGCCTGGCTTCTTCGGCCCGGTGCTGTGGCGAGCCGGTTTTCAATTCTTTATCTTGCAATACTTAATAACCTGGGTTTAGGGTTTAGGGGTTTAGGGTTTAGGTTAAGGGTTTAGGGTTTAGGCTTTAGGGACTTTAGGGTTTAGGTTAGGGGTTTAGGGTTTAAGGTTTAGGGTTTAGGCTTTAGGGCTTCTGCTGCATGATCTGAGGGCCGCGAGCGATCCATGCAAAAGACCAGCCCAGCACATTGGCTGGATCGGAAAGAGCCATCAACCCCGAGAAGCCCTCTGGGGCGTCACTCGCTCCCTCCAGGAACAACTAGCAACCACCCTTCGGGGATTTTTTTCGCTCCCGCGTAGCTGGCCGAACCGCAGGCAGGGTTGAATGGCAGGTTTCTGTATGGCAGCTGTGTTGTGGTGGGGCCTTACTTCCTTGTTCACCCAGAAGAAGCCATGAACCTGAAATAACTTCATCATACAACCAAACGCTCCTCCCACGTCAAGAATGTGTGGCCCCACATGTGGCAGTCTCGCTGGTCCCGTCATCCCAATTGACACCTAGCCCAAGAACCATAGTCCTCCGGGGATTTAGGGTTTAGGGTTTTCACCTGGAAACCTAAGTGACCTAAGTGACCTATAAGTGCTTGCCATCTACGCGGGGATCTACCGGCTCCATTTTGACCGACGCAACAACGCTCTGAAGGTTCAACTTCGGAGCTGCAAACAAATGTGCCGCCAGGCAGCACGCCATCCCAAAACTCTGCCAAATCGACCAGGGCAGAATTCAAGAAAAGGATGTACCTTCTGCCGCTTCTCTGGGTTTCAGGGTTGGGGGCTCGTTCCCTCATGGGCACAATCAACTCGGCATGGGGTCGGAGTTAGGGTTTGGTGTTTCGGCTTCACATTTTAGGCCTTGGGATCTGAGTCTTAGATCCCTAAACCCGCCCTCAACACCTCTCACCGGGGTATAGGGGGTGGTATAGGGATGCAAGTGGTGCAAGAACGCCTTGCGGCAAACACAGCTAGGGTTGAGGTTTTAGGGCCTTTCAGCGAGAACATGTCCTCGACCGCAAGCTGTGATGTGTTGGTCACTCGATGTTACTCGTGTGGCGTGGCTCGTCTCGAATAGCGCTTCGGTGGTCATGGAGTATGTGTTACTATGCGAGCGATGATGGCCAGCGCAGCCTGTCGAGCGCATCCGCCACCCGAAGCCCAAAAGCAAGCGACACTTAAGCTTCGGGAAGATGGGTCGACCCAGACTTGGTGAGTTCCTGAAAAGCCAATGATCCTTCGTGCATGTTCCGTACTCGAAATCGCGCTCCCGCCTAGGTCCCGCACACTTCTTGAGGCTTACACCGTTGCACGTCACGAAAATGTAGCAGGTTCGTGCCTTTCTATGCTTTTGGCTGTTGAAGGGGTTCGGGTTCGTGCGCCCGTTCCGCATTTCCCCAGGTCAAGTGCAGAACTGTCGCAGGCACCTTTGGCCTCATGGAGTGCTCTTGGAATGATCTGTGAGCGCTTTAAGGGGGCTCATCTTGTCTTGGGGTGCTCTTGGTCTCGGCGACTTGCCTTGTTGAGGGTCTACGCTGGCATAGTGTAGGGCAGGTCCACATATTGCCAACTACTTCTCAAGATTCCTGGAACGGCTTTGTCACGAAACAGCTCGTAATCATGACCTAGGCACGCAGCTTCGCCAAGGGTGGTGCAAGCGAGAAACCTGAGCAGCGCAGTCTCCGCCAAGTCTAAGGCCTTTTGGGGCTTCTGTCCGAGTATGTGGCAAGCAAGGTCTTTTACGGGAGTCTCTAGCAAATCAATCGCGTTCGTGTTGCATGAACATCACTCGGCCTCCATCCCACCTTCTAAAACACATCAGTGTACATGTTGAGCATCACAGGGCTTCGGCACAACCCATGTATGGCTCCCAAGAGGCACTAGCTATTTTGCGACTTCCTCCTATCCATCCAGTCCAGGAGGGTGGAGTTGCGTTTTGCCCCCTTGTTCTTTCCCACTCTCAGTGTGGGGGCTGGGCTCGATTTTAATCTCAGTTCTCCTCCCGACACACACAGCGAAAGAACCAGTTGAATGACAGGGGAACGCCCTGCAAATTTGAAACCAACCAAGCGGTAGAAAACACAAACATGAAGTCTCCGAAGTACCTGAAGTAACCAGAAGAAAGAATCTTGTACAGCTGTGTCAGTACCACTTCCCGGTAAGGGGGCATGATATTTAAACCGCCAGAACTCAGAACTGATACCCAGCCCTCGCTCTTCGATTTTGCAACCAAACCGACAATCTACTGCTCAACAATAGCTATAAACTCAAAGACTCCTGGTCCTCCCACAGATGCGCTGGCATTGGGACCATGGGATATCTACGGGCAAAGGCTGGAAGCAGAGTTTGTCTCGACAGCCGCTGCGCAGCAAAGTTCGGCCTCAGAACGTTGTTGTGGTACCTGAGTGGTGCTGGGGCTCTTTGGTTGGGCTCTCATCCTCCACTCCTCTGTCTCCGCTCTCTCTCCTCTCTCTCTTCTCTCTTTCTTGTCCCTCCTCTTTGCCTCCTCTCTCTCTCCTCTCTCTCTCCTCTCTTTCTTTTCCCTCCTCTTTCCTTCATCTCTCCCTCCTCTCTCTCTCCTCTCTCTCTCCTCTCTTTCTTTTCCCTCCTCTTTCCCTCCTCTCTCCCTCATCTCTCCCTCCTCTCTCCCTCCTCTCTCCCTCCTCTCTCCCTCCTCTCTCCCTCCTCTCTCCCTCCTCTCTCCCTCCTCTCTCCCCCTCTCCCTCTCTTCCCCTCTCCCTCACCACTCTCCCCTTTCGGTGAGAGCGTCTCGCCGCTGCCCAACCACAAAAACACAAGCCCATCGGGCTCGTGGTTTTACTGGCCCCGCCCTCGAATAGAGTTCCCGGTAGGCAGAGGCTCGATCGGAGGGCTCGGGTGATACGGAGTTCCTTTTGGGCTGAGCCCGCAGGGCGCTGGCCCTGTCGGTGCCAGGACTGAGGTTCCCTCTCAGTATCTCCCGTGCTCCACGTGAAGCCCCGCCCTTTGCCTAACTCAAACTGCACGAGTGTACTACCGCTGTAGGTTGCTGACTACTTCTCCTGAAGCACCCCAATACCCTGGTCGTCTGCTGGCTCGGGGCCCCCCCCCCCCCCGCACCCCAGCCCCGCTTCTGCTGGCTGGCTTCTATGGCCCTTCCCCACCCGCCCCCCAAATGGAGCATTCTGGCGCTCCCCTCCATGTTGTGGTGGTTGGTGGGAACTCTCCTGCTTTGCAATTATGCCAGTATGTTCTCATTGCCATTATGTTGCGCCCGGTCTTGTACCAAAAAAATACGGGGCAGGTTGCTGACTTGAGCGCCAATAGGGCTTCTCTCTCTCTCTCTCTCTGTCTCTCTCCCTCTGTCCTTCTGTCCTTCTGTCCTTCTGTCCTTCTGTCCTTCTGTCCTTCTGTCCTTCTGTCCTTCTGTCCTTCTGTCCTTCTGTCCTTCTGTCCTTCTGTCCTTCTGTCCTTCTGTCCTTCTGTCCTTCTGTCCTTCTGTCCTTCTGTCCTTCTGTCCTTCT